TCCCTCAATATAATCAACCGCGCTCACTGGGGGTGTGTGCAAACTCTGGAGGGGCTCCTTCAGCCTAAGCTCTAACATAAATCAGTATAACCGCTACGGCGTGCAGCCCGATCCCATATATGTAATCAATATAACCTGCTGTGGCGTGCAGCACGATCCCATAATATAACTCACACTCAGGCCCTCGGCCTCACTCAGTCATCAATCTCTCCAGTATCTCGGGCTCACAATGCCATGAAACTAGCCCAATATAATGATATGATATGACAATAAATGGTAACAGAAACTGAGATATGAATGCGTATGACTGAGCATATAAAGCTATGAAAGCAGATAACTCAACAACGAAAAATGACCTCAGGGATGAACAAAATCACACTGCCAACAAAAGACTCTGCGCGTTCGCGATACACCTCACGCGAACGCGATGACCACTGATGCCAAGGCTTCGCGAACACGACTCACATTTCACGATCGCATTGAACCTCAACACTACGCGAATGCATATCCCTGCACGCGGACGCAAAGAACACCACATCAACCCACCGTGAACGAGACCAAGGAAGCGCGAATGCAAAGAACAAACCGCTGCACTAACCAAAATACCCATTGCGAACGCGTTGCTCCATCCACGATCGCGAAGCACAACTGAAACACCAAAAAACCAGCAATAACAACATGGTCCAAAATAGTCTGAAACCCGTCTGAAACTCAACCGAGCCCCTCGGGACCTCGTCAAAGAATACCAACAAGTCCCATAACATAACACAGACCTACTCGAAGCCTCAAAACACACATAACAACATCAAAATGACGAATCACACCTCAATTTAAAATCAATGAACTTTGAAACTTCAAACTTCCACAATCGATGCCAGAACCTATCAAATCACATCCGATTGACCTCAAATATTGCACACAAATCACATTTGACACTACGGACCTAATCCAACTTCTGGAATCGGAATCCGACCCCGATATTAAAAAGTCCACTCCGGCCAAACTTTCCAAAATTCCAACTTTTGCCATTTCAAGCCTAATTCTACTACGGACCTCCAAATCACAATCCGGAAGCACTCCTAAGTCCAAAATCACCCAACGGAGCTAACAGAACTATCAAAAATCCAATCCGAGGTTAAATACTAAAAAGTCAAACTTGGTCAACTCTTTCAAATTTAAAGCTTCATAGTTGAGAATCATTCTTCCAAATCAATCCCGAATAACCTAAAAACCAAAACCGACGATTCACACAAGTCATAATACATAAAAAGATACTACTCAGGACTTCAAATAGCTGAACGGGATGAAAATGCTCAAAACGACTGGTCGCATCATTACACGTCATAACTTGGTCTTCTGCATACTCTCTGAACTTGGAATTACTTGTCAGTGCAGACCCTGTTTTGCGGCATCACAATTCATGTGCAGTCCGCACATTTGTCAAAATCCTGTTGGGTTCTTTATCTTGGGTTGCGGCTGCAGATGAAATTCTACGGTCTGCAATTTCTTCTGCGGACCGCACTTCTTTGCTTCTGTGCCCTTTATTTCCTTGTGCTCGGAACACTCCTTTTTTAGTCGAATTTTATCATGGAAGACCAAACGTCCAACATTACTGCAATTTGCACAATTTTATTATTTTCGGGAACATAAGTCAACACTTTCGGACTAAAACAAAAGCAAAAAAGTACTAATAAGTAGTCAAAATCCCCACTTATCAATCAGCATGAAATTTGGTGTAATTGAAGAGGAGTTATTACTCTCTCCAATTCTCAGGGAGAGGTGAGAATTGGTATAAATTACACTATGTAAAAGCTAATATAATTTTTTATTTTTCTTTTGTTTTTCATTTTTAAAGTATATTTAGTATTATTCTTTATTTCTCTTTCATTTATCTTATTCTCATTTTCTTACCTTCCAACCTGTTGCATAGATGTACTTTTATATAATTTTGCAACTTTTCATATTTTATTTCATTTTTTTTATTTTCCTTTACGTTTTTTAGTTGTTAAACATAATTTTATATTTTATTAATGTTATTTTCTATTCATCAGTATAAATAATTATTAAGAAACAATACCTTCTAAATCCAAGTCTATCCTTTTGTTATTTACATAGAGGAACAAATTATAAATTTTATACTACTTCATATGACTTGGTAAAAACTTAAATTCATAATTAAAATTTTATTAATTAATTTAAATTAAGATATTAGTTATTTGAAAGATAGTCAGATACTGATAATCGTTAACAATATAATTACCAACTTATAATTAATTGATGCTTTTATTAAAAAAAAATATAATTTAAATACCTAGGTATAAATAATACATAATATTTCTTATTTATGGATATATTTTTCATACATTAAAATTTATTTCCTTTGTATTTTACTAGCTTTATTTTCTAGTCATTAGTATAAATACTTAGTATAAAAAATACTTCCTAAGCTCATATCTGACTTTCTTATATTCACATGAGTTGGTGAAAAGATTATATTCGTTATAGGAATTTTAATCAATTGATTTATGGTATAATATTGTTTATTTATAAGTTACAAATATTTTTTATGATATTATTTATTAATACAACAACAACAACCGAATAAAATCTTACAAGTGGGGTCTGGGAGGGTAGAGTGTACGCAGACCTTACCCCAATCCCAAGGGGGTAGAGAAGTTATTTCCGATAGACCCTCGGCTTAAGAAAATGAAAAAAAACAATATATCAGTACCAACAACAGAAAGTATTGAAATAATAACAACATCAGAAGTACCAGAAAATAGATGAAAAACAATAACAGTAACACGTATGAAAGGCTCGTACTATGAAAAGTGAAAGAAAAGTGTGGACACAACAACAACCACTAGAACTCTAGGATACAACCCTATCAGACTAGCCTCTTAATCGGTACGAAGTAGAAAGAGCTCCACTACCTCCTAACCTGTAACCCTAATGCTCGACCTCCACACCTTCCTATCAAGGGTCATATCCTCGAAAATTTGAATCCTTGCCATGTCCTGTCTGATCACCTCTTCCTAATACTTCTTGGGCCGCCCTCTACCTCTTCTCATATTCGTCAAAGCCAATCACTCACATCTCCTTACTGGGGAGTTCGGGCTTCTCCTCCGCATGTGTCCGAACCATCTAAGCCTAGCTTCTCGCATCTTGTCATCCATGGAGGCCACGCCCACCTTTTCCCGAATATCTTCATTCCTTATTTTATCCATTCTAGTGTGCCCGCACATCCACCTCAACATCCTCATTTATGCTACTTTCATCTTCTGGATATGAGAGTTCTTAACTGGCAAATACTCTGCCCCATACAACATGGCTGGTCTAACCACCGCTCTGTAGAACTTGCCTTGAGACTCAGTGGCACTTTTTTGTCACATAGGACTCCAGATGCTAACCTCCACTTCATCCACCCCACCCCTATATGGTGCGCAACATACTCGTTGATCTCCCCACCCCCCTGGATAACCGACCCAAGATACTTGAAACTGCTTCTCTTGGGGATGACCTGTGATTCAAGCCTCACGTCCACGCCCCCTTCCCTCGACTCGACGCTAAACTTGCACTCTAGGTATTCTGTCTTAGTCCTGATCAACTTGAAACCCTTAGATTCAAGGGCCTGTTTCCAAACCTCCAGCCTCTCGTTAACGCCGCCTCGCGTCTCATCAATTAGAACTATGTTGTCAGCGAATAACATACACCATGGCACCTCCCCTTGAATACGGAGTGTCAGTGCGTCCATAACAACCGGAAAATGCTCCGAGTCGCCTCTCACCATCTTAACCTGAGTCTTTGCTTCATCATACATGTCCTTAATCGCCATAATGTAAGCAACCGACATGCTTTTCACCTCCATACATCTCCAAAGAACCTCTCTAGGTACCTTGTCATACGCTTTCTGCAGATCCTTCTTCCTATCCCTATACTGTTCCACCAACCTCCTAATAAGGTGGATAGCTTCCGTAGTTGAACGACCCGGCATAAACTCGAACTGGTTATCGGATATAGACACAGTCCTCCTCACCCTCTCTTCTACCACCCTCTCCCAAACTTTCATGGTATGACTTAGTAACTTGATACCCTATAGTTGTTACAACTCTGGATATCGCCTTTGCTCTTGCACAACCGTACTCTACCTCCACTCATCCGGTATCCTCTTTGTCCTGAAATAATATTGAACAGCCCAGTCAGCTACTCCAAACCTGCTTTACCCACACTCCTCCAACATTCAACCGGAATTTTGTCTGGTCCGATCACTCTACCCCTACTCATCTTACACATATCCTCCACGACCTCCTCAACCCTAAATGCGTCTACAGTACCTAAATTCTCGATGACTCTCGGAATGCCCCAATTCACCTAGCATAATATCCTTGTCCCCATCTTCATTCAGAAGTTTATGAAAGTAAGTGTGCCATCTTCTCTTAATCTGTGCCTCTCCCATCAATACTCCGCCGTCCTCATCTCTAATGCACCTCACTTGGTACAGATCCCGAGCCTTCCTCTCTCTTGCCTTGGCCAGTCAGAAGAGCTTTTTATCTCTGCCTTTGTCCCCTAGTTCCTCGCACAGACGACCAAACACAACGGTTTTAGCCTCTATGACCTCCAGCTTCGCCTCCCTCCTAGCTATCTTATACCTCACTATGTTCTCTCTCCTCTCTTCCTCGTCTATTCTCCCTACTAACCTCATGTATGCCGCCTTTTTCTCTTCCACTTTGCCTTGGACCACTTCATTCCACCACCAGTCACCTTTGTGCCTGTCAGTGTAACCTTTCGAGACCCCTAACACCTCTTTTGCCGCCCCCCTAATACAGTTCGCCTTCGTCGCCCACATAGCACTCGCGTCCCCACTATCCTCCAAGCTCCCAAAGTCGATAAACTCCCCTCTAACTCCTGGGCTTTATCCTTAGTCAAGGGTCCCCACCTGATCCTAAGTCATCCTCGTGCCGACCTCTTCTTCCTCTTTATCATGATACCGACGTCTATCATCAAGAGCCTATGCTGCGTTGCGAGGATCTCCCCCGAGATAACCTTGCAGTCCTTACACACCCTCCATCATACCTCCTGAAGAGAATGTAGTCCATCTGGTTCCTCGCCACCGTACTTTGGAAAGTAACCAAATGCTCTTTCCTCTTCGGAAAACTAGAGTTCGCAATCACCATCTCAAATACCTCCACAAAATCTAACAGTGAAGTACTTCTCCGTTCCTAACCCCAAAGCCGAAGCCACCATGCACCTCGCCATAGCCATCACTAGTCGATCCAATATGACCATTGAAATTCCCTCCTATAAATAACCTCTCAGCAAGCGGGATACCACACACAATCTCATCCAACCCTTCCTAGAAGCGCCTTTTAACCTCTCATCCAAGCCCGCATACGGCGCGTAACCGCTAACTGCATTTAGGGTGTACTCCCTATCCACTAGCTTAATAGTCATTAATCTATCACTCAACCACCTTACCTCTACCACCGACTCTCAAAGATCCTTATCCACCAAAATACCCACTCTATTCTTACCCTTCATGTCTCCAAAGTACCACAACTTATACCTTTCTGCATCCCTCGCCCTCGATCCTACCCATCTAGTCTCCTGGACACAAGCTATATTAACCTTCCTCCTCTGAAGAATCTTCGCCAACTCTATAGACTTACGCATCCGTGTTTCTATGTTCCATTACCCAATTCTCAACCTAGAGGCTCCATTGTTCCCCTTACTCCCCCTGCCTCCCGTCCCACCCCCTGAGCCCTACCCCACCCGAGGACATGATCTTACTCTACCATCCCACACCTCAGCCACTATACCTACGACAGACTTAGGAAAATCACTAACTCAAAAATAGGCAAAAGGCCGATCTAGAAGAAAACGATATGTAGCTACATGCATGCATGCATATATTATGGTTATACTAATGCGACTAAAATGCTACCAATTTAACTAGCACAACGAAGAGAGTGACAGAAGCGGGAGGTACTAACTCCTGGGAGTAGAACCCGGATATTCAACTTGGTGCCGCCTTTGCTGCCACTTCTTCAACGATAATCGCCGGAAAAGGTCACCGAAAAGTTGACCGTAGTGAATGTTGCTCGTCGGAGCTAGCTGGAACATTATGGGATAGGGCGCTTCTGAAGAGACAACTGCCACCAAGATATCTTTGGCCTAAAATCTGATTGTACAGTAACACACTCGTCGGCGCGTGGTTGATCCTGCTAGGAACCCTAGATCTGTCGTCACTGCGCGCACACACACAAGAGAGGGGGGAGGAGAGAGAGAGAGAGAGAAGAAAAGATAGGGATAGAGCATAGGAGAGGAGATGGCAGTCACCGGTTCTGTGCAAGCTGCCGGCGTAGGAGGAAAAACGGGCGGAGAAAGGGATAGGGTGGAGAGAATAGAGGAAGGAGAGAAGGAGGGATAAGAGAGAGAAAGGAGGGGGGAGGGGGAATAGAGGACAAGAACTTACCTGGTGGTCATGGCCGTCGCCGATGCTAGAGCCTTGCTTGTCACTGGTGATGGCAGAGAGCCGTTAGACACAGCAGGGTGTGAGAGAGAGAAAGTTCGAAGAGAGAGAAAGAAAGCGTGATGAAATTGATGACATTCATAACTAATGTATAATTATTTAGTTAATTTTTATAAAGCTATATTTACTTTAAATACCTCATGATACATTTTTTTATTTATCATTTACATATATGCTTGTCATATAGTAAAAATGATTCATATGTTAATCTACAAAAATAGTTTATTATGTAATTACACTTGTCCAACCAAATATGATAGTAGAAGTTACACTGTAATTACACTGTGATCAAACAAATATGTCATTGCAACTACTATATTGTGTAATTACCAGGATGTGTCTAGTAATTACACCATCAGGTAATTACACATAGCTTTCCAAATCTTGTGAAATAACACTCTGCAATTATCAAGTGAAATGTGAGAATTGTAGGTAATTACATAGTATAACTACCATATGACTTTCCAAATCTTTTTTTATTCCTTTTTATATACCATCTTTTCTCTTACATTTCTTTACAACAACAATATACTCAGTATTATTCCACACCGTGGGGTCTGGGGAGGATAGTGTGTACGCAGACATTACTCCTACCTTGTGAGGATAGAGAGGCTGTGTCATGACCCAAAACGCGAACCTGTCGTGGTGGCACCTATCATGGTACTAGGCAAGCCGACACACTTCCAAAACGCTTCAATATTTCATTAAAAGATAAGTCAAAGGTTTTTCATACTAGAAACTTCATAAAAGAGTTGAACTCAAAATAAAAATGCGGAAAAGATAGCCCGACATCTGGGTATGACTAAGTCATGAGCATCTAAAACCAGTCTAGAATCAGAGTTTACAATAGTCCACTAATGCCAAAACAGAAAGAACAGATAATAATGGAGGGAGAGACAAGGGTTGCGGGCGTCGGCAGCTACCTCGTATATCTCCAATAGCCAACTGTGCATGAACTCAACGACCTCTGCGACCGGCCTCACCTGAATCTGCACACAAGGTGCAGGGAGTAACGTGAGTACTTCCAACTCAGTAAGTAACAGAAATAAATAAGGAACTGAGTAGCAGTGACAGGCTATGCAAATACAGTTTATTTCAATAACTTGCAATAAGGAACAGTCATGCTTTCAAATTTAGTAGTTTAAGTCAAATCAGTTCGTGCTCAAGTAAACCAGATATCTAGAAATTTGCACAACAAGGATAGGTAACAACTAAGTGCAACAAATAATTGAAACCAAGTATAGCCTCTCAAGGCAAAAGTTATTGAGCTCATCTCAACAGCTCAATCACTCGGCTCTTAGCCCTCAGTAATCATACTCAATAGGTACCTGCGCTCACTGGGGGTCTGTAGACTCCGGAGGGGCTCCTTCAGCCCAAGCGCTATATCGCTGCAGTGTGCAGCCTGATCCAGTATATAAACATCCATAAGGCTCGTTGCGGCGTGCAACCCGACCTAACATAGATATTGAGCTCGAAGGCTCATTGCGGCACGCAACCCGATTTAATATATACACTTACATAGCTCTCAGCTCGGGAATCAGGCCCTATCTTACTCACCAACCTCTGCAGTCTCTCGAGCTCTCAGAAAACATATAATTCAGCCCAAACATAGATAATAACATGTATCAATGATAAAATAGAAAGGACGAAGGTAGGATACGTAAGTAATATCATGACTGAGAACAAAATAGCATATAACAGTTAATTGAGCAAGTACACAACCTCACGGGTCTCAACAGTGATATCATAAGGCCTAAACATGATTTCTAACATGAAAGGGCGGTAAATTTCCATTAAAAAACAAAGGGAACACGCAGTAGACAGTAGGCTATTCGATTCTACAGTCTTATGGGATGGACCAAGTCACAATCCCTTCGGTGCACCCCCACACGCCCGTCACCTAGCATGTGTGTCACCTCAAAATAGTCATACGACACAAAATTCGGGGTTTCATACCCTCAGGACCAGATTTATAACCGTTACTTACCTCGATCCGAGCAAAATCCTACTCCGTGATGCCTTTGCCTCTCGAATCGGCCTTCAAACGCCCCGAATTCATCCACAAGAAATACAATACCATTAGTATATGCTAAAGGAATCAATTCCACAAGAAAAACTACTAAATTAGACTCAAAACCCAAAAAATGGGCTTGTTGGCCCAAGTAAAGGTTAGTTTTGAAGACTGACAAAGGAACTCAGGCATGAACCAGGTCCATCCCTCAGGTTCATAAAAACGGGCAGATTCGAGCATGTGGGATGCACGTGAAGGAGAAAAGCTTAACTTGGTGTATTTAATATCTCCTAATCGAAAAGGTTGCATAATTGATAAGGAGAAGGACTCCTTACTCAAAGAGAACATTATCCAAGATAGGGAAGGAGTTAGAAGTTGAGATCAACTAGAACTCTTCCACCAAGGAAGAGTTGCATCAGAACTCTAGTTATTTCTTCATCTACTAACTCTATAAATTGCAGGATGTTCTCACATTACATGTAATGCAGAAAACGCATAAGTTAAACGTGAATTGAGAGCAAAATAGCAAGGCTTTTTGCAAGCAGTTCATGTGTGATTCAAGTGTGCAAACCTGAAGCTACATGAACCAGATTGAAGAATCAGCTCCATAAAGAGTTTTATATGTCTTTCTTTATTTCTAGTTCAATTGTAGTAGGTGTTTTAAATATTGTACCTTTCAGTTTTATCTAGAAGCAATTGTAATAGGTATTTTGAGTATTCAAGTTAGAGTTAACTTGAAGTTGTCGCAGCAATTAGAGGCTGGTTGCTACAACGGGATTAGAGGTAATCCTTAGGTTTACAAGAGTTTTGTAAATGCTGTTTTGGCTCAGTGATTTAGTGAAGTGTTGGGAAAATCCTACTGAGTAGTAGGTCGTGGTTTTTTCACCTTTTGAGCCGGGTGTTTTCCACATCAAAATACTTGTGTTCTTTACTTTCTACATTTATTATTCCGCAAACAGTAGTAGTTGGAACACATAGAAGAACCAGGTCCTTCTATAGTTCAGTTAAGCGAAAATTGGGTACCACACAAATCACTCCCCCCCCCCTCTCTTGTGTGGTATTGAAGTATAAAACATCAATTGGTATCAGAGCGGGTTATTCTTGAAAAGGCTCACCTTAGGAAAAGATCAAGATGAGTGCACCACCTGGAAACTGGGAAGGGCAATCCACTGCTAGGCCCCCACTCTTTAATGGTCAGTAGTATTCTTGGTGGAAGAACAGGATGAGAGATCACATCATAAGAGATGACTATGAACTCTGGGACATTGTTACTGATGGTCCCCTGGCCATTACAAAGAAGAATGCTGAAGGAATGGATATGCCAAAGACTAGAGCTGACTGCACTGCTGAGGACTTGAAGAAGTGGGAAAAGAATGCTAAGGCCAAGAAATGGCTTGTGTGTGGACTTGGTCCAGACGAGTACAGTAGAATTCAAAGTTGTACCATTGCTAAGGAAATCTGGGACACTTTGCAAGTGGCTCATGAAGGAACACCTCAAGTGAAGAGGTCCAGAGGAACACTGCTGTATTCTCAATATGAGAATTTCACCATGAAGGAAGGGGAAACCATCCAAGAGATGTATACAAGGTTCACCACACTGACAAATGAACTTAAGCCTCTTGGAAGGGTTATTCTTGAAGAAGACAAAGTTGAAAAGATTTTGACAAGGGTTCTGCCAATCTCTTGGGAAAGCAAAATCACAGCTATTCAGGAATCAAAGAACATTGCCACTCTTAAGTTGGATGAGCTAATTGGAAATCTCACTGCCTATGAACTTAGAAGGCAAACCATGAAGATGGATGCACCCAAGAAGGAAAGGAGCCTGGCATTCAGAATCACTGAAGGTGCTGATCTAGAGGAAGATGAAATGACCAGGATCACAAAGGACTTCAAGAAGTACCTAATGAGAGG